CTGGCATTCGACTTCCATTCAGAATAGTAGTGGGCGTGTGTGTACAACTGGGTGGCCGGCGGTAGCTTCCAGTGGCTAGCTTATGTTCGAGTCATTGCTTTTATCTCCCCATCAAACAAGCCTGGAACGAACTAAAAGACCTCGGAGGGATGGAAGGCTGATGAACTAGGAAGTATCGTTGCGAGGTTTGAACCGTGGACCATGCGTGTGCGATAGTGCGCCACCTACCATTAGACCACCTTTCACTGGGATAAAAGGAACCAGTATTGACTATTGATAATGGCTTCACCACCTTACTGTTCCAGTATGACATGAAACGACTTTTCGAGCAGGGAATTTTAGTCGGTTGGGGGTATGTTACGATCCATGTGTGGCTCGTGAACGTGCTGGGCAAACACTCCCACACCAACTATGAGGCTTATAAGTGAACGGATTTCTGAGCGATGCCATTTCATTTAATCATTCTCTGAACAGATTATTTATTTAGGTATTCATGCGTTCTACTAGCCATCACAGACCACTCCAATACGAATGAAAAGTCTACGAGCGAGGGTAAACGGGATAAGAAGAATGAACCAGAAGGCACTACAACGAACTCTCCTGGATCTATTCAGAAGACAGTAAGTTGTTAAAAAAAATAGTAATAAAAGCGAATGTGAATTAGCTGCTAACCAAAGAAGAGGTAACAAAATGTGTTCGTCAGAAAGGAGAGGGAAAGGGGTATTTGAAAATGAGCAGGGCAGAAGAAGAGGAATGAAAACTGATTGGAACCAAGTTCTCGCGTCCAATGAAATCAGAAGCTGCAGAGCAAACCCATTTTCCTATGCCTTAGATCAGTTCATTCATTACCATGCTTGACTTTCAGAATACTAGATAGCTTGGTAAGGACATCAAATAGTAGCATAGACAAAAGGTCGGAAATATAAAATCATGGGTTCAATTTAACCCTTTCGCTCATCAATGAGCTGCTTAATTTTCTCTTGGTTGGTCAGGCTCGAATCTCGAAAGGATGAACCATTTTGATGATAAAAAAGTCCCATTTTCAGTCAAAAACATGAAAACCGCTTCAACGCTCAGCTTTAGGTCAAGGAGGCCGAACCTTGAATGTCTTTGAGATATTCGAATGTTAAACTAATTCCGATTTTGAGAAATAATTAAA